ATTTTGAGAATGCATATGAACATTGGATAAATAAAAAAAGTAGAAGAATTTTTTTTTAGAAGTAATTTTTGTAATTTTAAAAAAATAAATCGGAAAAAAAATTTTTTTTTTAATTGGATAATTTGGATGTGCGCAAAAAAATTCTTGCAGATCGAATTTCGAACACTGATTTTGATATTATTAAAGTATATAGACAATGATCACACAAAAAAAAAAATGCTTTCAATTTTATTATAATGTATTATGCCTTATGCTTTATGCTTTGTGCCTTATGCATTTATTTTGTATATATATATATTATATAGAATATAGAATTTTACAAGAATTAACATTGTTTATATAGCATTTTCAAATTTTCAAAAAAGCCTAAAAAAAAAACCTAATTTTTGCATGATATCATAAAAATAAAAAAAATGATATCATTTTGTAATGTCATCATTTTTACATCATTTTATTAATTATTAATAATAACGTTAATAATTAAATTAATTAATATAGAAAATAGTCAAAACGAAAATTGAAATAATCATATAATGTTTTAAAAATCTTGCCAAATTTTTTAAAAAAAATAAAAAAAAATAAAATAAAAATCCCAGTGACCGGCATATTCGCATACTCTAGTTGGTGAAAAATAAAATTTGCAATTAATTATTTGCGGCAGCTATATCTATTTGCGGCAGCCGTAATTATTTGCGGCAGCCGTATCTATTTGCGGCAGCCGTAATTATTTGCGGCAGCCGTATCTATTTGCGGCAGCCGTATCTATTTGCGGCAGCCGTATCTATTTGCGGCAGCCGTATCTATTTGCGGCAGCCATAATTATTTGCGGCAGCCGTAATTATTTTATAATGGTAACTACCAGGGGTAACTACCCTATGGTAGCTACCATTGCCGCAAATAACCAATTATGGCAGGTGTCTTTAGGATCATCCGGATATCCTATAATTTCTAAAATTTCAATCCGCAATCCGTTAGAACTTTAAAAAAGCCATCCGTCCATCCGGATTGTTTTGCGGATATCCGGATTGACCATCCACGGATCGCATCTCTACTGTTTAGTTGATAACTTGTTCTCTTCTACAGGTAAAGCAGGTAAAGGTTTATTATCTAAGTAGAACGAATTCTTTAGATTTTCATTTTGTGTTTCACTATCAGTTAATTGCTTACTTAGTTTTTCTATTTTTTTGCTCTTTTG